TGAGACCTTCTCGTCCACAGACCTGAAGCACACAGGGCCAGTGAGGGCTTCTGTCCCTAGACATGAGGCACCGAGCATGTGTGAGGCCTTCCCGTCACCAGACCTGAGGCACCGAGAAGGAGTGATGCCCTCTTGTCCCAAGAACTGAATCAGGTGCAACCTGAGGGCAGGTGCAGCCTTCCCATCCCCAGATCTGAGGCACCAAGCGAGAGTGAGGCCTTCCAGTCCCCAGACCTGAGAGACTGAGCATTAGTGAGGCCTTCTTGTCCCCAGACCTGAGGCACCAAGTGCCACTGTGGCCTTCTTGTCCCCAATCCTGACCCCCAGAGGGCCAGTTAGGCCTTCCCGTCCACAGACCTGTGACACCAAGGGTGAATGAGGCCTTTGCGGCCCCAGACATGAGGCACCAAGGGCGAGTGAGGCCTTCCCGTTCCCAAAACAGAGATGCCGAGCACAAATGAAGCCTTCCCATCCCGAGACATGAGGCACTGAGGGCCAGTGAGGCCTTCCTGTCCCCAGACCAAAGCACCGAGTATGAGTGAGGCTTTCTTGTCCCCAGACCTGAGGTCCTGGGGTGGGTGCGACCTTCCCAGCCCCAGATCTGAGGCCCCGAGTGTGAGTGAGGCCTTGTCCCCAGAACTTAGGCCCCAAAGGTGAGTGAGGCCTTCCCATCCCCACACCTGGGGGGCCAGTGAGGCCTTTTTGTCCCCAGACCTGAAGGATCAAGGGTCAGTGATAGCTTCCTGTCCCCAGACCCGCGGCACTGATGGCAATGAGGCCTTCCCCTCCCCAGACCAGAGGTACCAAGGGCCAGTGAGGCCTTCCCCTCCCCAGATCTGAGGCCTACACAGTGAATGAGACCCTCCTGTGCGTAGAACTGACGCCCCGTGGGTGCGTGAGGCCTTCCTGCGTGCAGATCTGAGGGGCTGAGGGCCAGTGAGGCCTTCCAGACACCAGACATGAGGCACCAGTGAGGTCTTCCTGTCCCCTGACCTGAGGCCCAGAGAGTGAGTGAGACCTTCCTGTGTGCAGACCTAAGGCACCGAGGGCCAATGAGGCCTTCCCTTCCCCAGACCTGAGACACCAAAGGCCAGTGAGCCTTCCAGACACCAGACATGAGGCCCAGATGGTGGGTGAGACTCTCCTGTGCACGGAACTGACACCCCATGGGTGGGTTAGGTCTTCCTGTCTCCAGACCTGAGGCCCCGAGAATGAATGAGGCCTTCTTGTCCCCAGACCTGAGGCACTGAGAGCCAGTGTGGCCTTCTTGTCCGAGACCCCAGTCCCCGAGCATGAGTGAGGCCTTCTTGTCCCCAAACCCAAGCCCCCAGGATGAGTAAGGCCTTCCTGTTCCCAGACCTGTGGTACTGAGGGCAACTGAGGCCTTCCCATCCGAAAAGGGGAATGCCCCAGGAAGGCCCTCAGGGTGAGGGAGGCCTTTGCAGCCCAGACCTGAGGCACTGAGGGCCAGTGAGTGCCTCCCATGCCCAGTCCTGAGTCCCCAAGGGCCATGAGGCCTTCCCAGCCCCAGAACTGAGGCCCGGAGGGTGAGTGAGGCCTTCCTGTCCGCAGACCTGAGGCCCCGAGGGCCAGTGAGATGTTCTTGTCCCCAGACCTGAAGCCCCGGTGGTGAATGAGGCCTTCTCGTCCCCAGACCTGTCTAACTGAGGGCCATGAGGCCTTCCCATCCCCAGAGCTGAGGCACCCAGGGTAACCGAGGCCTTCCTGTCCCAGAACTGAGGCCTGGAGGGTGGGTGAGGTCTCCCTGTCCCCAGACCTGAGGCCCAAATGGGGGGTGAGACCCTCCTGTGCCTAGACCTGAGGCCCGGAGGGTGGGTGAGGCCTTCCGGTGCAAAGACCTGAGGCTCCAAGGGCCAGTGAGGTCTTCCCTTCCCCAGACCTGAGGCACAGAAATCCAGGGAGCCCGTCCCGCCGCAGACCTCAGGCCCTGAGCGTGAGAGAGATCTTCTGGCAGCAAAATCACCCCTAACCCCCGGAGTGTGACTCTATCCATCCCCTCACCCTATCCTGTCCTTCTGTAAGTCCTGCCACATCCACCTTAGATCACCCCTGGGGCCCGATCCTTGGCACCTTTATCTCTGCCTCCTCACAGGGCCCCCACTACCACCCTTGTTCCCATGGTCGATTCCCCACCCAACAGCCAAAGAGGTCTTTTCAAAACACAGACTGCATCCTGATGGCCCCCCTGCTGCCCTTGTGACAATCAGGGCCATGTCGAGACTCATTGGCTCAGTCTATAGTGCCTTGCATGGCTCTGGCCCTGCCCGCCTCTCCCACATGTCCCCTGATCACACGCGGGGCTCACTGCTTTCCCTACACTCCAAGAGCACCCCCACCTCAGGACCTTTGCATGGGCCGTGTCTCTGCTCTCACCACCCCTGCGGGACCTTCCCAGTGTTCTCCAGGTGGTCACTCGGGTCTGCTCTGACATCGCCTCCAGAGAGCCCCACCTGGCTGCCCAGGGGCTGCACCCTGTCCAACCCTCTCCCCCACTCTGTCCCCATTACCACCGTCTGAACTTACCTCATCCCTGTTCCCGTGTGCGCAGGGACCCTCCCCCTTCCCAGACCCTGGCTCCTGGAGGAAGAGTCCTCATCCTGCTCGCACCGCGCCCCCAGCACCCAGGGGGCAGAAGCAGCTAGATATTTGTTGAATGAATAAATGGCAGCAGTTAAGGGATCCATCCAAGGCCAAGTCCTTGGTCACTAGGAGTGTCAAGGGGGACTGTCACTGAAAGTTTGAGTGCTTTTTTCCCCCTTTCTTAAAAGACAAACAAGAAAAATTTTTCTCTACATCACCAAATCCAGTGAGAAAGAACACGAAAGCCCAGTGTGCAGAACCGTGCCTGGACTCGCAGTAGCTTCGTCCCGCCGCGGCTGCCCGAGGGCACGTGGGCCACACGAGCACGGCCAGAGCCACCGCCCACGTAGGGCTCTGATCGGCGGGAAGCGATGGCTCCCGGAAGCGGAAGCGCCGCACGCCGGGGTTCCGTCACTTCCGCCGCGCCCGTGGGGGGGGGAGGGGGGTGCCACCGGAAGAGGGCGTGGCCGTGCTGCTTGGCCTCCCTGCGAGGCCCGGACGCGGCGCCGGCTGACCCGCAGCGGCCCGGTGCCTCCCGGTTGCTCTGTCGCTGTGAGTCCTGCGACGCCGCAGGGAAGGCGGAGACCCGGGAACAGTCATCGCCTCTCCGTTCACTGGTGACTTGGGCTGAGGAAGCCCGGCCGATCACTGGGATCCTTCCCTGCCGGCCGAGAAGCGGCAACTAGTAACGAACCTTGTCGTTCAAAAAACACCTCCTATTTATCAGTTTTTGTCGGATGTTGCTTTGGGCTTTGCCGCGCTGCAGCCCACGCCGCGTGTCCCGGTGCTCAGGATGAGGGACACGCCCGGGAGTAGACACCTGGTCCGGAAGCCGCTTGACCTCCCTTTATGGAGCCGCGCTGGGCATCAGGTCGTACTTGAGACAAGTGCAAGACATTTTAAAATGTTTTCTGCTGAGTTTCATAAATATGTCTTTAGAGACACAACACTGTTAAAAACAACAATTTAATATGAATCTTAGGTAATCTTCTACCAGAGATATGAATATATAATTATACTGTGTTATCAGGCTTGTGAAATGTATAAACTATAAAAAAGAAATTCCGAAAGGAAGATACAGAACTCATGCAATATTCTTTCATGCATTACTGAAAAGTTGGATTGGTTCCTCACCAGACTATCAGATGGAAACTTCATTCAAATTTATGAAATGTCCATGTGCATCTAGAGTATTTTCTGGGAAAAAAAAGTCATTCATTCAACAAATATGTATGTTCCAGTCCTCCTCCAGTGAGGTGCTGGAATAAATACATCAGTGAACAAACAAATATCCTGCCCTCATGAAATTTATATCCTGGTGGAGAAATGAGAATGTGGGGAAAACAGTTGTGTTTATTAATGCAACAAAAGTCAATATATGACTTTAACTCTTGGATACAAAGAAAGTATAAGATGCAGTTGAATGATTCCTGAAAGAAGTTCAATACAATTACACCATGCAGGTGATGCTGCCGCCCAGAGCAGAACACCAGCCAAGAGGGTCACCCTTGAGCCTCGAGAACTCCCGAGTTTGCCTTGCTGGGTTTCAGTCTTGCCTGGGACCTGTGAGCCCTTCCTCCTCTCTGGTTTCTTCCTTGGGGATGGGAATGCCTATCCTATGCCACCTCATCATTGTGCTTGGAACTTGTCTGATGTCACACATTCACAGCTGGAGAGCTTTGTGTCAGGATAAATCACACCCAAGTCTCACCCTAGTGGGTTTAGATGACACTTAGATGAGACTTTGGACCACAGAGTTGATATAACGAGCTAAGACTTTGGAGGCTTCTGGGGTGGAATGAATGTATTTTCCACGAGGACATGGATGTTGGAGGGCCAGGAGAGTGCCATGGACTGAACTGTGTCCTCCAAAATTCGTATGTTGAAGCCCTAACCCACGGTGTGCTTGTACTTGGAGATTAGGCCTTTGCAGAAGTAGTTAAGGCTAAATGAGGTCGCAGAGGGGACCTCATTTTTTTGAGGTACACATGTATAATACATGTATAATACCATTCATATAACGTTCAACACCAGGTAAAAGTAATCTATCTATAGCATCACAAGTCAGGGCACTGCCCTTGAGAGAGGACTGAGTAGAGGCCCCGTGGACAGGCTTGGCCTGGGTGCTGGTCACCTGTGTCCACTTTGTGAAATCTCATCATCTATATATTTGTGACCGTGCAGTTTTTAGTATATACCTTATTTTCCAATAAAATCTTACTAAAAATCAAAACAATACAAAAAAAATTGTGGGTGTGTATCTACTGACATGGAAGCTTCTTCATAATATAAAGGTTACAAAGCAATGCATATAATGTGACCCTGTGCTTATAAAAATCATGTATATGTATTGAAATAAGACACACAACATCCGTTCATTAAAAAATATTTATTGAGCATGTACTATGTGCCACACATAATTTATCTGGAAGACGACTATGCAACGGTACTATCCCATGCAGAGCCCGCCACATGCACTGCCACCTCCAGCTCTCAGCTGGGCCAGAGCAGCCCGGCATCCCCTGCACACACCTGCACGGCTCTGCAATCCTACATCCTGCATGTTAACTGGATGAGCCGACAGCGGTAAGGACACCACGAACACGACGCGTGAACATCACTGTCACAGGGTACACAGGCTGACATGCGTGCGTCCTAGGAGTGTAGAACTAGACCTAGCGTGGGAACACTGACCTACCACGGGGCGGCACCTGGAACACACAGCCTACTTCTAGAGGGCGGACACTGGCAGCGAGGGCAGCTGGGCAGCGAGTGTGTCTGTGAAGGGCCCTGACGTCACCTGCCAGGCCGGGGAGGGTCCATGCGGAGCGAATGTCCGCAGACTTTCACGGAGCACGTGTGAGCAGCCAGGTGCGTCTTGATTCACTCATATTCATCCCTCAAGATACGCACGCTGCTTTCCAAACAGAACACCACTGTCATCTCCAGATGGGGAAGACTTTTTCTCCAACCTGAAAAAGACAAATGAGAACAAGGCAATCAAATAATAAAGCATTTGTTTAATTAACATAGTATTTCCTAATCATTTAATACCGGACAAGAGAATGGCATTCAAGTGCAGAAATTTTTAAATGACAAACACTGAATTTTTAACTTAAAATTATCACAAAGCAAAGCACAAAAAAGGTATTAAAAAATAAAGGGAAATCACATGATGATTTTTCTTTTGTCTCCCACATTAACCCTGAATCCAAAGAAGAGAATTCCATTTCTCAGCAGCCTCTGAGACTTGAGGCTGGAGCAGGGCCTCTCAAGCCCCAGCCCCACTGGCGCTCTGCATGTGGTTTCACGTGTGAAGACAAAGCCCCCAGTCAGACGTGCGTCTCCAGTACATGTCTGGGGCAACTACTGCCTGAACAGCCAGGAGGGTCTGTGCAGAGGGTGGGCCACGGCTCAACGGTCGTCTCTCTGCCCGAGGGGGCTCTTCTGGATGTGCAGGAGTGACCCTCAGGCTGCTGGGGTCTCTACGCTCACTGACAGACTGGGCCACCGGAGGAAATGACTCACCCTCCCAAACCTTCCACTTCCTGTTCTGTAAAATGGGAAACAAAGCTGATAATAGCATCCACTTCCTGCATGAGGATGAAATAAATGGTACAGAGGGGTAGGGGCCGCGGCCAAGTGACCAGCCATCTGCCACTGTTATGCCCAGACCTGCCTCCCGGAGGACCTGCACCCACAAGACATAATTTTACAAATATCTTACTTTCTGAGATGTGGGGTCTTGCCTGGAAGTGACTGCCCAGCTCAGAGCCACTGACATGTGCCTTCTCCACACGGGGTTTCTCTGCAACACAACCGAGCCCGTGACCACATCTCCCACGTGGACAGGGACAGGGTCGTCCATCATAAACAGCGTCTGCTTCCAGTGTGTGGGGCTGCAAGACAGGAGGTGTGCGTTACTGGAAGCTGCCCAGGTGAGTCTCCACATGGCCTCAGGTGCCGACCGGGCTGTGCGCAGGCTTCTGCCCCGCCACCTGTGAGTCGCATGCGTGGCCCTCAGACGACCTGCAGTCCTCCCTGGAGCCAGGCAGGACTGAGCTTGACCCTCCAGTCTAATTTACGGTACAGAAACACCCCCAGCCCTGAGATCTAAACAGTCTTTATGGGACACACTGGGATCAAAGTTACACGGTGAGGTAGACACCGCTACCTCGGACACCACAGCACGGACGCTTGTCCTAGAGACGGCTAGACTCCAGGGGCAGTGTGGACGGCTCACCCTGGGTGGCCTGGTGGACTCGGGGAGCTGAGGGGCACAGGCCACATGCAGTGCCTGACTCCCCACACCCTTGCCCTCCCCAGGCACAGCAGCGTCCAGCCCAAGCCACTGTGCTGTCCAGGCTCCTCATGCCAATGTCCGGTCACTGCTATTTGCGTGAGATACACACAGCAGAATCAGGTCCAAAACGAGTCACTGCTGGGAGAGTTATGTCCACTGTGAGCAGGACAGCCTGAACGTGCGGGGCAGGCAGGAAGACCCAGTAGCCCTGGGCTGTACTAGAAATGTCTCGAAGTGCTTGGGGCTCTTCCCGCTGCCCCGCCCTGCCTGGCCCTCCTGTCTCTCCCTCTCAGGTCCCCCATCAAGACTGTGTCCTGGGCCCCCATTTCCAGCACCTCGGGGCAGGAGGAGGCCTGGCTGGAGCCGCCCTGGACACCAGGACGCTGGGGAGGGCCGAGTTCCAGCACCACATCCCACCCAGCCTGCAGCCCTTGGAGACCTGGCCCCCTTCACGTCACCGGGCAGGTGCTGGAAGGGACAGCTGACCCAATCCCGACCCCTCCTGTCCGTCCACCCTGTCCCCACCTCCCATCCCCGTCCCCCCCGAACCTCCAGCCCCGCACTCACGGGTGGAAGGGCCCGGTGCTGAGCACCTGCTGTGGCTGGCCCTCCTGCAGGCTCTGGAAGTGCACGCTGAACCAGGCTGTGAAGCCGTGCAGGGTGCCGGCCCTCCGGATGTCAAAGCGCAGGTCGCCCCGCATGGTCTGGGGTCAAGGGGTCAAGTGCATGGACAAGGTCATGAGTCTGAGCAGGTTGACTGGCCTCCCCGGACACCCCAGCCCCTAAAGCCTCAGAACACAGGGAGACCCTCCCAGGACCGTCCCCACAAAGACCTGCAGCCCACAGCTCAGATGCTACAGATCTTCAAAAAGGTTCCCAGCAGTTTGGGTTTCAACTGCCCCATGTTCTGCCCCATCCCTGCAGCCGCCCCCTGCACCTGGCTCTGTGCCAAAGCTGGGCCTCTCCTCAGCCAGGACTGACTGAGGACCACCCGCCTGGCTCCCTGCGGAACCCGCCTAATCCCCACCGGCACGGCAGGTCCTGAGTACACGCTGGACCTGCCTGGGACACTCATGCTGGCTGGCCACAGAGAAACTAGGGGAACAACTTCTGACAATCTGTCATCAGCTAAGAACACTGGGATAATTTTTCAATTCAAATACCATGATAAACAATTTATTTGATTTTGAAGATGCTGAGAATATAAACATAAATCTGAAAATAATTCAAGATGCTAAAGAGATTAATTGTAAAGAAAATGATGTAAAAATACGACAATCAGAATAGAACAAACATCAAAAAAAGGATGGAAAAATCAGTAGCAATAGGTTTATAAATTCACTCTTTGTACTAAAAATACAATGAGTTACACACACACCCCGCGTTCCCTGAAGGTTTACGATATGTCAGGCCGCCTCTCAGTGTTTCATAGTCATCGGTTATTTAATGTAAGAAGGGAGCAATTCAGCTTTTTCTCACCTCCAGGTCGGAGATTTGCACAGTTCTCATGTCCAGCTGCAATATGGTGCAGGGTTCAGAGAGACAGTCTTCTGGTTTCAAAATGTGGTTATACTTGGGCTTCGAAAAAAACTCCTTAATTGCCAAAGATCTAGAAGAAAAGGGCAAAGCAACTTCAGGGTCGTGACGGACACCCTGGGCTTTTACACACGTGTGAGCACAGCACGCGCTTCTCTTCTGCAGCAGCAGGATCCCGAGCCCCTCGCGGGGCTGAGCAGCAGCACTGGGCCCTCCCTGCCTCCCTCCCTGCAGACCCAGCACCTGCCCGGCAGGGCCCACCTGGGCCTCGCGGAGCCTTCCTGAGCCTGGACCTGGACAGCACCCCCAGAGCATGTGGGGGGCTCCCCTCTTACGTCTTACTCCCGGCAAGAGAGCACATGGAAACCAACATTCACCCGCACGACCTGGAAGATACGGGCTGCAGTGTGTTCTGTAGTTCTAGAATCTATTTTATTTCAAAATGCCTTCTGCGGATCTTCTGTTCCGTAGCAAATGAAAAAGGTGCTCCTGCTGTAGGCTGCTCTGTGACAAATGCAACAGATCGGCAGGACTGAACGCTCCCCTGAGCCTGAATTTAGGAGCAATACTTGGACGCTGTTACGCGAATTCAACGCGGCAGAGACAACTGGACTCCGCTCCCCTGCTAACCCATCTCACTGTGCACCTACGTGCCAGAAAGTCCCCTATAATTTACCGTGCAAATGTTTAAAAAAATTAAGCAAAGCAGCAACTTCTGAAATAGCAAATAAGTGTTTTAATAAAGATTCCATTATATGTACTTATTTCTGAATATTCTTGATAATAAAAATAATTACAAATTTATAAGAAAATTGGAAAATACACAGAAGTATAAGGACAAAATTTAAATTCCCTATATTCCTGCCTGAGCATTTGATATATTTAGTTATTTTTCTCCCCATATTCTTATATATTTACTTATTTATGCAGAATAGGAGACATTCTGTATAAACGGTTTGTCCTGCTAATTTTAGTATCTCTTCAACGCTTTCTAATATCATCACGCGTTCCTAAAACCCATGGTTCCTTTAACGGCTGCACGACTCTGTCAGACGGATGTGCGGCAATTTAACCACGTTCCTGTGCACAGCCAGGTGTTTTCCGGGTTTCCGGCAAACACGAACTCACCGTGACACATGACGCCGGGAAGAACCGTCTTGAGCGGGAGGCTCTGGCGGTGACCAGGGGGCACAGACTTCTGAGGGCCTGGCCACACGCCGCACCCTGGGCAAAGGCAGCGCAAGCCAAGGGCACCTCCACTGCCGCCGGCGAGCGCAGATTACTATCTCAGCTTAATCTGCGCTCCTCTGGTGGGCAAGATAGTATTTGTTTTAATTTGCATTTTAACTACCAACAATGTTCTGATTTTTCAAATATTTATTGGTAATTTTATTTCTTTTTTGTAATTTGCTTGTTCAAGTGATTTGGCTATAATTTCATTTGGATAGTCACCTTTCTCTAATTGATTCTAAGATCTGTCTACAAGTGACTTTTCCTAATTACTTCCTTTCAGAATTGTGTTTTTGCTGATTTCTGGCACATAGAGTTTGTCAAATTTTTTTTTTTTGGCTCATTCATTCCATGGATTTTTTTCAAATACCATAAGCTCTAGCCCAGCGTCTATGCCGTCCTTCGTTTCTGCCGCCGTCTTCTCTACCTGGGTCAGTGTGGCACACCCCACAGCCGCCAGTAGTTGGTGTTGATGTTTTAACACAAAAACGCTTAAATCCACACAGAATGAAGTTTCAATGTACGGTGTGACGAAAGAAAAAACTTTCCCCAAAGGACTAATCAAGTGTCCCAGAATGACAAGCTGACTCAGCCCTCGCTCCCTCCACCTTTCTCGGGCGCTGGGGTTCCTGTCCCCTATGTGCCACCCTGCTCTGCTCACCTGACCCTGCTCGCGGCACATGCCGGTCTGGTCACTCCAGCTCCACCTGGGAGCACACGCACCTCCGCACAGTCCCTTTCAAAGTGCCCCGGCCCTTCTTACCCGTTTTTCCCCAGACAAACCACAGAACCACCTGGTGAGGAACCTCGCCCCACTCTTGCCTTGGGGATTTTGACTGAGGCTGCGATGATTCCACATGTTACCTGGGAGATTCCATACCTTTGCATTACTTTTTCTTTTTTTGTATTTTTTAATAAAAAAATAAAAGACCCAAGGGCACCACGCTTTGCCACCAACTCCTGCCCGCACGTGTCAGCAGTTCAGGTTCATCTGGTCCTCACTAAATGCACTGGAAACTTCTTGTACGTTCTGTGCAATTAGGGAATGAGGGCCCCTTCCCTAATTCCCAGGGGATGCCGGGTTTCTCCTGCTTCCTTTCTGCAGAATCCTCGGCGGGGAGCACTGGCCTGGCTGCCTCTCTCAGCAGAGGCAGCGCTGAGGAAATCATTTCACGTTAGAGCTGAAGCTCAGCTATACAAATGTGTCGATGTTAAAAACCAGGAAATCACTATTTCAGAGTATCGCTTTCTTTGCAAAACACCAGGAATGGTAGGTATCACTTTAACACTAGCACGTTTTTAATTCTCATTAAGAATTTATAGCTCTCAGTGGGAACAAACATTTGTGTTTTAACCCACACATTTTTAAAGACCTCGTTTATAAACACAACCTTCTTTTTCCCATTCTATTTGGGAACCTAGATTACAAAGGACATTTTAATTCCCATCGCATCTGTTAGTTTAAAGGCATTAAAAGCAACGTGCAAAGTTCTCAGGCACGTGGTGAACTTAGATCAGCTTCACACGCGTTCTACGACAGAGCCCACCTAGTCTGCCTTGGAAACCCCTGCGGCTTTCAGAGTGGCGCTTTCTCCCCAGGCTCTTCTCACCCCAAATCTTCCCCCAGGAGCAGGCGGGGGCTGGGTGCAGACGTGCCAGTGGCCCCCCTGGCCCCCCCTGCAAGAACGGCCCCACCGACCAGGAGCTGGCCAGGCGGGAAAGCTCCGCAGGGAGCTGAGGTTGTGCTGGGGCCCCAGGTGCACGGTGACAGTTTCCCTAAAACCAGAGTGACTGTGTCCACAGAGGAGAGAGGACTCCCTTGAGAAGGCAGAGACTCGCAGAAAGGCACAGGCAGCGTTCTGCGTGAAGGCTCCCAGCCCCAGCAAGCACGACCCGCCCAGCACCCGCCCGTCCCTGGCGGATGTGGGAGGCCCACGGACGCCGCGGTCCCCGCTGAGGACACTTACTTCAGAGCGCTGAGGTTGAACTCGTAGGCGTTGTCCCAGAAGAGCACCTTGCTGTGGTAGTCCTTGTCGGCGCTGCAGGGCACGAGGTGCAGCGCAGCCGTGGTCGGCCAGATGACCCCGTCCTCCTTCAGCCAGGCGTCCCGAGCGTACAGGATGGACTCGATCATGAACTCGAACTGCACGGGGAGGAGACACACAGAGGAGACGCGCCACTGAGGCCCCGATGCTCAGAGCATCACCCCAAGAACGTTCCCGCCCAGGCCAGCCAGCCGGGCGAGAGAGCGTCTGCAAAGATTTATTCATTTGTTACGCCCACACATGACGGCATCGACGCGCCTCACAGCTGGGGTTTAAGTCACAGCATTTCCCCTCAGAACTGAGAGCGGGAGCAGCCTACAGGGGAGGAGAAACCTTCGCTCTTGTCCTGTCTCAGCCACTCAGGAGTCAGCAGCTACCAGACTTCGAAAGAGCCCCTCTGTGTTGCGGGTCCTAACGTAAATAAAATCAGTTTGGTCTGGGTACTGTGAGAATGTTCACAACCCCTTACGTTGACTGAAATCACGCCTTAAAAACCTGCAAACCACGCAGGCTTGGCCATCGCGTGTGCTCAGGGCAGAAGCAGCTGCCCCTCCTGCTCTGGCCCTCAGAGGGCCCCACCTCCAGGTAAGCGAGGCATGTCCACAGCTAAGTGGGACGGCCCGGGAGGCCAGACTCTGTCTGAACCAGAACTTGCTTCAAATGCAGAGAAGTAGAGGGTGCACAGGGGACGGGGGACGAGGCCAGAGGCCCTCCCAAGCCCCCCGGGTGCTTGCACCCCATCCCAACAGAAGAGTTTTGCTTTTCTTAAATAATCTCAAGCAGGGATTATTACATAAGTCATACATGGTCAGTATGGAAAATTTAGAACACTCAGAAATACACAAACAAAAATAAAAACTGCAAGTAAACCTGGCACCCAGAAGGAGCCATTGTTATCACTCTGGTTTATTTTCACGTATTTTTCTACACTTGCACACAAACACACACACATAGAAAAATACATACATACATATGGATACATATAATTTAAACTTTTTTTCAGTTATCGAAACTGGCCTTTTTGGTGTACAACCTTGCGTGGATTTGCGTCCCACAGTTGTAGCCAGGACACGGCCCTGCCGCCCGAGACACTCCCCTCGCCCTCCTCCCCCACCCACCTCTGGAAACCAGGCATCGGTCCCCGTCCCTGTGGTTCTGTCTGAGACGTCGTGTAAACGGGATCCTACGGTGCGAACCTTTTGAGATTCGCTCAGTGCGCTGTCTCTGGGGTCCTCCGGGGTCCTGCCTGTCTCAACAGTCTGTCCACTTCCTGCTCAGCAGTGTCCCCTGTGTGGACGCACTAGTTCGCCTCGAGGACCATCCTGGTGAAGGACGCTTGGGTTGTTTCCCGTTTTTTGGCCACTGTAGATAGAGCTGGTGTAATTAACGATTTGCAGGCAGGCTCTGTGCGAACACACCTGCATTTCTGCCGGGTGAACACCTGGGAGCAGAACTGCTGGTCACACGTGAGTGTACGCAGGACTCCGTAAGAAACCACCGGACTGTCTTCCACAGCGGCACAGTCCCAACAGCCATGGATGGCTTTCACTTGCTCCTCAGCCGCACCGGCATGTGGTATTGTCAGAATTTTTAAATATTTTATCCATAATTTAACAGGTGTGACTGACAGCTCAGTGTGGCTTTCATGTGCATTTCCCGGATGGCTGCTAATGCGAACACTTCTCACCTGCTTACCTGCCGTCCGCACACCCGCGCTGGTGGTGTCTGCTCAAGATTTTGCCTGTTTCTAATTGGCTTATTTGCTCCCTGCGGGGTTTTGAGAGTTCTCTGTATATTCAGGACACACACTGGGTATGTTATTTGCAAGATTCTCTAACAGTCTTTTCATTTTCTTAACACTGTCCTCTGCAGAGCAGGCACTTTTTGTTTTGATGAAATCCAATTTATCAATTTTTTCTTTTATAGATCATGCTTTTAAAGACATACCTAAAAACTCTTTGCCTAAGTCTAAGTCATGAAGAATTTTTGCTATGATTTCTTCTAAAAGGTTTTAGGTTTTCCTTTCATATCTATGTATTTAACCAACATTAAATAGAATGTATCAATCCTCTTTAAAGTCATTGTTTTTTAAATTTTCTTTTTGTGTTATAGATTAAAAAATTCTTTCCTACTCCAAAGTTTTGAAGATATGCTATGATTTCTTCTAAAAGGTTTTAGGTTTTCCTTTCATATCTATGTATTTAACCAACATTAAATACAATTTTGTTGAAGGGGAGATGCAGGGCTCTAATTAGAAGGTTTTTGCATATTAATAACCAGTTATCTCGACATGAATCCTTCTCCCCATGGATTTGCAATGCCATCCCCATGTTATATTGTGTTTTCTAATATGGAATTCCTCTTCTTCTTCTATTTTTTTCTTTTTAGAAGTCTTCACCATCATCAGAGGAAAGAAATTCTCCATCTAGCAAGCCTTTCTGGCACCCAACCAAGATCAAAAGAGAGGACGATTCTATAGCATATGATTTTATAAAGACCACTGGGTGGTCTGTGTTGGCCCTTCCAGATGCTCTTTTAATTTATTTCTGATTTTCTAAAGGAGGAAGTTTTGGGAGGAGAGGAAAGTGGTCAAGTGGTAAATGCAGCCCTCTCCTTGCATTGAGCTCTGAGAGGATTAAATGTTAATTTGTTTTGAAACCTGCAAAGGCCACCACACTTATTAAAAATAAGTTGACCAATGGAAAGATCTCTTGACTACAAGCTACTCTCCACACAAAATGCCAACTGTGAATGTGTTCTTGGTGGAAATGGAGGGATTTAAACTCCTTAAAATTCCAACTAGATTTGAATATCTCTAGCTCAAGTCATGTCTCTGCTCTTAGGAAAAAGGGCTCCTTCTCCAGCCCTTCTTGGTTATGAGTGAAGAGCTACAGCAAAAAAATCTGAAAGCCTCTTTCGGCCACTTTTCCCTATGTTGAGCCACATTCACAGCCAGAAACCATTTCAAAGGGTTAGTCTATACTTGGCTGAAACAACTAGTGGTTGTTAATGATGCACTTAATCCTTCAGCTGTTTCGACCACATGATAACTAGCCTATTTTGAGCTTGAAATGACCGCAATGATTG